CGAGTGCACGAACCAACTTGGCGAGTTGGATTCATTTTCCCTTGGACTCAGCGAGTCCATTCATGGACTCGGTGAGTCTGCTGTGCAGACAGCATAAAAACTCGATTTTTTCGGCTACTTTTGCAAGTATAATAAGAAAACAAGCCTAGGCTCTGATACCACTGTTGGGTTATGAGCATTATAACACTCCTAAGTGCACATGCAACCCTAAATACCTTGGATCTATGTTTTTTCTATTATACATACAAATATTAACATCCAAGGTATGATCATAATCTAGCATACAAAACAATGAAAATAACAAGATAGAATACATACCTCTTTGATGTAGAATGTCTTCATAAAGTTTGAGTGCCTAGTGCCTCAAGTGTGACACCTCAAATGGTTCACACAACACCAAACACACTTCACGAAAATCAACTAGCCCTATCACTCACTCATAGTCTCCGATTTTCCCAAGAATATGATCTTTATATAGTGTTACAATTAGGGTAAACCCTTAATTGTCATGGATTTCCGTTTCCTTCCATCCATGGGTTCAAATACACCATGGAGCATCTTATAGGTTTTAGCCTAACTTGATAATCCTTAGAGCATTAGCCCACTATACAAGTATGGATGATTAACACAATCAACTCATATATTTAATTAGTCTTCTTTTGATCACTTAATTAATTCTAAATTAAATCTTGATCAATACTAATTAAATAATCCTATTAATATATTAGAACTTATAATATATTAAATGATCCTTAAGTGTTATTTCTCTCATTATAGTCTATCCAAATGCATGATGCCATGCGACCCAAATGGACCATGTTGGGTCGGGTTAAGTCTTACCAATTATAGTTATGGACTTAGATATTAATCTAACAATCACAACTATGCAAATGAAGAAGGTTAGTTGCTCCACGCTTGAATGATTTTTCAAAATACTAAATTTTGTGGTTCTTCAGTTTGTTTTAGTACACAACTAATATTGGTACTTCAGTGACCACTAACAAGCTTCATGGTTATACTCTACTTAGAGTTATAACATACATCAAGTACTAATGTTATGTGGGATAATTTGAGGCGAACTCTAAGGTTTAGTTAAGCCAATGTTTTATAGTATATTTGTGGCCTCCCTATCGTAGTGAACTCATGAGACAAAAAAGCGAACTTGTGGAGTTTGAGAGACATAAAATGTTTTGCTTTGTAAATATCTATACCCAATAAAAAGCTTCTTAGTTATAACAAAGCGAGTCAAGTTCCAAGTTTATCTATTTAATTTCTGCATTTTGAGTCTAGTTATATATTAAATAATTTATAGTTCAGGAGTGGAGTCAATTTGTGACCTATAAGAACTAGGCCGGTAAACCCCACAAGATATTGTAAATCTGTCCACCTGTAGTACATTAACATGGATTAGACCGGGAAGAAGTCCGCTACATGGGTTTTCATAGAAAGTCATGGACTCCATTAGTGACCTAAGAGATTTCGAGCACTCCAATGAATTTCTTAGAAAGTCACGAACTAAAGTACAAATAGAAGTAAAGCTAAGAGCTATTTGCTTGTGTACTTTGTCAAAGTTATAGTTATAAGAAAAGATTCAAAAAAAATCAAAAAAAAAATCTACTTATATTCTTAGGTCAACTATTATATATACTATTTTTTTTTTCTTTTAAAGTTGTGTCAGTTGGAATTTGGCGATACCTTTTGCAACGAAAGGAGTAAATGAAAATTTATAGGTGGTAGGAATGCGAAAAATGAATGTTGTTCAAAATAAGTGGGGAACGTTTATGAGGATTAGTATTTAGGGCTTGGGAAGTAACTAAGCCTTAGACACAAATATACACATTGCGGGTAGACATAATTGGTGAGTGCAAATCGAGCTATTCTATGTGATGTTAAGGAATTAAAAACCTAATAATCCACAAGGGAATTCTTTACAATGCAAAGTGAGGAATCAAACACAGAATTTAGTTGTTTGACAAATATGTAAGTAACAACAAGATAATCCTCAATATCTCTAATTTAGTCAACTAGTGTTTCCTTAATGTTCTTGTTTCCACATTCACACACTTCACTGCATTTTACTATTCCTTTCTCGGATTCTCTATCCATGTGCACACACATCACTTTGAAAGTTAGATTATTTAGTGTTTGCACTTTTATACTTTTTGTTTAACTCATGCCTTAGAATGTAGGTAAAGCAGCTAAGTAAGATAGAGAACATCACTTACTTGATCATGGAACATCCTTAGCCAAGTGGAGCATCTTTTGAGAATGGATCGTCCTCTTCAAGAAAACCATAAGGGTTTCTCTTGGTTTATGGAGCATTCTTGTATATTATGAAGAAGGTCAAGATCAAAAGCGTTAATGAATAATCTTGAAGCAACTTCGTGCTCTTGGACCAACATGGAACAACTTCAAGAACATGGACCAAATTTGGAGCAACAACATCAACTTTATCAACTTAATCATCTTGACCATCTTGAGGCATGTGGGACCATCTTCATCAACTTGATCGTCTTGATCATCTTGACCATCTTGAGGCATCTTGGATCGTCTTCATCATCTCGATCAACTAGAAGTATCTTGGAGGAAGTTCACCAACTTGAAGGATCTTGATCACTTGGTCCGGCTTGGAGCATCGTCAGTCTTTTGGAGCATGCTCAAAAACATTGGATCATGTTCAACAACATTGGAGCATGATCAAGAACATTGGCACATGATCAACAGCTTGAAGCATCTTCGGCCACTTGATGCATCACGCCTATGTGACTCATTAAGTACACATAGAGCATAATAAATGTGTGATGCACGTTTTCAATAGGTCATACACGTTTGAATGAGCCATGCATGTTTCAAGTAGGCCATGCACGTATCACGTATGTCATGCACATTTCAAGTAGATCTTTTCTTAGGCGCCATGCACGTCTAAAAGATAACATCCATGCATGCACCACCTTTTCTTTCTTGATTCTCAAGGCATCATTCTCGTGCTCATGACTCAAGTAGAAATTCTCCTATTTATACTTGAGTACCATCCAAGCCTTATGGACCCATATCTTGGCCCATGCAAGCCCTATTTCGGCTCATTGAGAAACCCTAGAACCCTTCAACTATAAATAACTCACTTCTACTTCTCATTCTTTCTTTTTCAATCTCTCACAAATTCTTACTTTCATACTCGCTTGGAGCAACAAGGCGTCGTGAGAAACAGTCATGTATGCAACAGGCAACTAACGTTGGTGAGAAAGAAGCAGTCTTGGCACAACAGCAACTTTGGCTCAACAACAAACCCATTTTTGGAAAAACCTCTCTTGAGCCATTAGTCTTCTTAAGTTGCAAACCCTAATTCGGCTCAACAACCATCCTATTTTCAAAAATCCCTTCTTGAGCCACAAGTTTTTCTCAAAACCCTAGTTTGGCTCAACAACCCTAGTTTGGCTCAACAAACCCTAATTGTGATCAACAAGGACTTCTTGTGCCCTCCTGACCCATTAGTGATCAACAAGGACTTCTTGTGCCCTCTTGACCCATTAGTGATCAATAAGGATTTCTTGTACCCTCTTGAGCACTCCTTATTTTTGAAATCCTTCTTGATCCATCACTCATTTCGAAACCCCTCTTGACCCATTAGTGATCAATAAGGATTTTGTACCCCCCACCCCCCTCTCTTGAGCATCAAGTAATTTCAAAACCCTTCTTGAGTCAAACCCTAATTTTGAAATTCCTTCTTGATCCTCAACAAGGTTTTTGTGTCCTCTTGAGCCATTCATGATCAACAAGGTTTTTGTGCCCTCCTGAGCCATTCATGATAAACAAGGTTTTTATGCCCTCTTAATCCATCAAGCAAATTTCGAAAACCTTCTTGACCCTAACCCTAATTTCGAATTCCTTCTTGACCCAAACCCTAATTTCGAAAAACCCTCTTTATCATCAACAACCTTATCTTGATTATCAAGCAAATTTCGAAAACCTTCTTGACCCTAACACCAATTTCGAAAACCTTCTTGACCCTAACACCAATTTCGAATAACTTCTTGACCCAAAATCCTAATTTCAAAATTCCTTCTTGATCATCAACAACCTTATCTTGATCATCAAGCAAATTTCGAAATTCCTTCTTGAGAAAACCCTATTTTCGAAAAACCCTCTTGATCATCAACAACCTTATCTTGATCATAATGCAAATTTCGAAATTCCTTCTCGAGTCAACCTTATTTTCGAAATTCTCTCTTGATCATCAACAACCTTATCTTAATCATCAAGCAATTTCGAATTCCTTCTTGACCCTAACCCTATTTTCGAAATTCTCTCTTGATCATCAACAATCTTATCTTGATCATCAAGCAAATTAAAAACCATTATCATGTCCTATATATACTCATTGCTCCATCCTCTTGATCATTCGCTCAATCTTGTGATCATCAACAAGAGTATTTACCACTCTTGAGCCAAAAACCCTTCTAGATCTACCCTTAAATTTCGAAACTCTACTTGAGCCACACTCAAATTTCGAAATTCTTCTTGATCTACACTCAAATTTTGAAAATCCCTCTTGAGCCATCAAGTAATTCCGAAAATCCCTATTGAGTCATCACTAATTTCGAAACCCTTCTTAAACCTCAACAACCCCCTCTTGATCATCAAATAAAACCGAGGATATCTTCACGAACCATCTAATACCCTCTTGAGCATTCCTTACATCGCAACTCCTCTTGACCCTCAACAACCCTCTCTTGCACAACCATTTTTTTTCTTCGTGATCATAAGGCACATCGATGATTCCTTATTGAGCCACACAATTTTTTTTTTTCCTTCTTGAGCCACACTTCTCTTCTTGCGCCACACTTCTCTTCGTGATCATCAAGCACACCAAGGATACCCCCTCTTGCTCCAACTTCTTTTGTGATCATCTTGAAATTTTTTTTCGTGATCAACTAAATAAAAAAAAAAATCTTGGGCCTCCAGTATTTTTCTTTGGGCGTCACCTATAACTCCTTTGACGCATGACCTTACACCAGCCTCATGAGTCTCATAATTCCTTCCAGCCTCATGTTCACCTGATCATCCTTGATACAACTTTACATCTTGCGCCACATATCATTCTTGTGGCGCTACTTTCCGGTGGACTGCCCTTTCGCACCATATTTTACGGCCGCTCAACCCCAAATCTTCTAATACGTCCACCGCCTTTACGGCACTGGAAAGATCTTGAGGATACTAAACCTGATGAACGACAATGTTCAAAAACAAAAAGCGATGACTTCGATTAAATACAAATCTTAGATCCGTCATATTAATCCAGTTGACGGATGTTATGGAGTTACCGTTTATCTGCAACAAAAGCTGGTGAACATGAAGCGACAGCTTCAATACCATCGTCTTTTGTTCGATTTTCATAGAATAAACAACCATGATCAAGTACAAGATCCTCCAGTTAAAAACGAGATCATAAACGATCAAAATGTTGGTGGATCGAGTAATACCACGACTGATCAGATAGATCTATGAGAATGGTCAACGGTTTTACTTCGTTGGATTAAGTGATTTTAATGCTAATGAAGTCGTGAGCAGAAGAATGGAATCGTCATCTAATAATTTGGATGATCAAGAGATAACGAACGATGATCTGAATCGAATTCTATCTGATATTGATAAATTTCGTTGGGATTTTATAGAAAGTTAAACTGGTTCGCTTCTTAATGATCAACAAACATTGATGGGATATGAATTTAGGGTTTCAAGAATCATCTATAACTAGACTACTCATCCATGAATTGATCATTCCATGTTCAGGTGAGATCATGTGCTCCATATGATCACATCAACTGCACCACCTCGTGCTCTTCATTCCATTTTCATGTTCAAATGATTGGTGCAACATCTAGCCGAGATTGACCACTTGCGCAACACTCTTACATACACGATAAGCATCTTCCTCTACCCCCCTTACAAGTGCTTTTAGTCTCCAGAGGAGCAGACCCATGAATGCATCTCCTAAGCATCATGAATCAAGTGTACTTCACGATCAATGTCTTTTCCGTCTTTTTGCTTCTAATCCAGAAGCTTCCCTAGAAGACCTTCACACCTTCACGTCTTTTTTGATGGATTCAATCTCACTTGAAACCCAGATGAGCGTATATGATCAACCAAGCGATGGAGCGCATGATGGAACACGACTGGCTCACCTTAGACTTCGTGGTTGCGCACCATCCCTCCAACACCGGAGCACCTCTCTGAGCGCATCTCCTCTCCACCTTCTTTAGGTCAATTTTCTTTTAGAAGAAAGCATTCAAACCCTAATGCTCTGTGGGCTTGTCGACCCCTTATCAACGTCTTACGTTGGGTTCTTGTTTTTCTGGACTATACAACATCTTTTTAACAAACTTTTTGTGACATTTTTTGTTACACTTGCATGTTACGTCTTTTGTGACGGTCCTGCTGTCGCAAAAGGGTTATCAAACAAGGCTTCACAAACTTTGACATTTGATTTTTTTGTGACACTTGGATATAAGAGCAAATGGTTATTTGTGACAGTCCGGGTGTCGTAAAAAACATACATACATGATATGTTTGGCATGCAATTTTTTTTTTTTTTTTTTTTTGTGTATCATGCACAATTTTTTCATCGTTTTTTTTTTTTTTTATTTTGTCTCTTTTGATTATTTTTTATGGATCCAATAAACCCTATCTTGTTATAAAATATGATCAAATAACAAGATAAATTATAGAATAAAGAAAGACATGAGAGTAGAGAGAACTTTTATTCCAATACTTGTGAAGAAATTATCAAGTGCCTAATACATATGGCTCACTATTTATACTATCCAAATAAGATGAAAGATGAGCTATAATATGAATGCACATTATGATGGTGTATTATTACATTCATAAAACACATTGAAATGGTTGTTACTAATGCTAAATAATGATGGGGAGTTATGGGAGAAATGGAGAATCCAATGGTCATTCACAAACTAATATTTCATAACACTCCCCTTGAATGACGATTGTATCATGCCTCTTAAAACCTTAATAGGTAAAACCTCATGGGAAAAACCATTTATTAAGGAAAAAGAGTACATGATTAATAATAGATATTTGGAACAATTGCCTCGTTAAAAACCTTGCTAAGAAAACCCAGTGGGAAAAACATAGCTAAGGAAAAGAGTACAATATGTTTCCAACTCCCCCTGATCATCACATCACTTGATTTCCTTAAAGCGTCGCATTCCAATATTTCGTACCATGTTTTCAAATTTGGATGTAGGGAGCACTTTAGTGAACAAATCTGCCAAGTTGTTACTTGATTGAATTTTCTGGATGTTGATGCCACACTCTTTTTGAAGATCATGAGTAAAAAAAACTTTGGTGATATATGTTTGGTTCTGTCTCCTTTGATAAACCCTTCCTTGAATTGGGCTATACAAGCCGCATTATCTTCATATAGTATGGTTGGAACGTCCTGTTAAAGTTAGACCACAACTCTCACGAATGTGATGAGTTAAATTTCTTAACCAAATACATTCACGGCTTGCCTCGTGAATTGCTATAATCTCTTTGGGATCGAGCTTTGTGTGGATCAGACAAATATCCAGCATCTGCATAACCAATTAACTCCGCATTTGATGAATTTGAATAATATAAGCCCATATCCATTGTACCTCGAAGATATCGAAGAATGTGTTTGACTCCATTCCAATGTCTTCTTGTTGGGCAAGAACTATATCTTGCTAATAAGTTTACAGCAAAAGATATATCAGGTCTCGTATTATTAGCAAGATACATTAGTGCACCAATAGCACTAAGATATGGTACTTCGGGACCAAGAAGTTTTTCATGTTTTTCACAAGGCCGAAACTGGTCCTTTTTGGCATCTAAATGCCTTACTACCATCGGGGTACTCAATGGATGTGAGTTATCCATATAAAACTTTTAAGCACCTTTTCTAGATAACTAGATTGATGTACAAAAACTCCATTTTTGGTGTGCTCAATTTGAAGACCCAAACAAAATTTCGTTTTACCAAGATCTTTCATTTCAAATTTTCTTTCAAACAAGAAGTCATTTTCCAATTCTCCAGGAGTTCCAATTATGTTCAAATCATCTACGTAAACAACAATTATCACAAATTCTGATCCGGATCTTTTTATGAATACACATGGGCTTAATGGATCATTTTTATAGCCCTCTTTTAAAAGAAATGTACTTAAACAATTGAACCACATCCGGCCAGATTGTTTCAATCCATACAAAGATTTATTTAATTTTACCGAATATACTTCACGAGAATTAGGAGTTTGTGCTTCTGGCACCTTAAACCCTTTTGGGATTTTCATATAAATATCATTTTCAAGTGAACCATATAAATAACGGTAAATACATCCATTAGACACATCTCCATTTGCATATGTTGTTAAACTTATAAAATAATTGAATATAATTGCATCAACTACCGGAGACTATGTTTCTTCATAATCAATTTTGGGCTTTGGGTAAAACCTTGTGCAACAAATATTGCTTTATATCTCACAACTCATTTTTCTCGTTTCTTTTGCGCACAAATACCCATTTGTGTCCCATTGTTCTTACTCTGTTTGGTGTACGGACTACAGGTCCAAAAACTTTTCGTTGAGTAATAGAATTAAGCTCTTTGTTTATTGCATCTTTCCATTTTGGCCAATCTTTTCTATTCATACATTACTCAATAGATTTAGGTTCAAGATCCTCATTTTCATTATAATCGCGCGCGGAACATGATATGAAAAATTATCGTCGACATCTATCTTATTTCGGTTCCATCTTATTCTTGTTATGACATAATTTATTGAGATCTCATCATTTTCATTTTTTCAGGTACCTTATTTTCTTTTGTTATGTCATTGGGCTCTTCTGGAGCTTCATTAATATTTTCAAAAGATTATGTTTTCTCTTTTGGACCATCAATTATATTTGCTCCCTTTCATTTTCGAGGATTTTTATCTTTGGAACCGGTTAGTCTTCCACGCTTCAGGCGTGCCTTTGATTCATTTGTAGTTGTTTTTTTCCTTCTGGGATATCAATTCTAACTTGAGTAAGTATAGCTGGTACATGAACTTTGTTACCCACTTAGGGTCAGTAAATGCTTCTGGCAATTGATTTGCTACATTTTGTAAATGAATTATCTTTTTATTTCAAGTTCACATTGACTTGAACGAGGATCTAAAACTGAAAGTGACAATTCCTTTCAAGAGATTTTATTTTCCAGCTTCTTTATTTCTCCCCCTAATGTTGGAAAATATGATTCATCAAAATAATAATCATCAAATATAGCTGTAAATAAATCTCCATTGATGATTTTAAATATTTTACTATAGATGGAGATTCGTATCCAACATAAATTCTCATTCTTCTTTGAGGACCCATTTTTGTGCAGTGAGTGGAGAAATAGTACATAAATTGCACATCCGAACGTCCTTAGATGGAAATATTTGGTACATGCTGCAAACCAGTTGAATAGGGGAGAACTTATGATAACTAGTTGGCCTGATGCGTATAAGTGATGTCGCATGTAAAATTGCATGTCCCCATGTCGATGTAGGAAGTTTAGAATGCATTAATAATGGTCTTGCAATTAATTGAAGGCGTTTGATTAACGACTCAGCTAAACCATTTTGTGTATGAACATATGCAACAGTTGTTCAATAGTTATCCAATCGACATGCAATAGTCATTAAAAGCTTGTGATGTAAATTCTCCAGCATTGTCAAGTCGAATTTTCTTAATTGGGTAATCGGAAAATGTGCCCTTAGGCGGATTATTTGTGCTAGTAATCTTGCGAAAGCGAGATTACGGCTAGATAACAAGCACACATGTGACCATCTAGTTGACGCGTCAATTAAGACCATAAAATATCTAAATGGTCCACATGGTGGATGAATTGGTCCACATATATCCCCTTGAATTCTTTCTAAAAATCTAGGACTTTCATACCCAACTTTATTCAATGATAGACGGGAAATTAATTTTCCTTGAGAACATGCAACACAAGACAATTCATTAGCTTGAAAAATCTTCTGGTTTTTCAAGGAATGTCCACTTGAACTTTCAATTATTTTGCGCATCATAACTGATCCGGGATGGCCCAACCGGTCATGCCAAACTTTGTAGATGTTATCATACCTTTTATTTTCAATCATTCTAATATTTGTATAATACAATCCGGAGGACAATACGGGTAATTTTTCCAAAAGACTTTTCTTACCCGATATCATTTTGTAATATTGAGATACTCTTTATCACCATCATTGGTTGTTTCAACATGATATCCGTTGGACCGAATATCTTAAAACTTAATAAATTTCTTGGTGATTTTGATGAAAATAATGCATCACCAATTGTAATTATTTCACTTGTGGTAATACTATATTCGCTCTTCCGGAGCCTTCAATCTTGGTGATTTAGTGGAAAATAATGCATCACTAATTTATAATTAGTGTCCCTTGTTGTAATATTATATTCGCTCTTCTGGA